AAGAAAATAAGAATAAAATACAGGAGCTGAGGATATTTCTAGATTTTGGGTGGGAAGAACATAGAGAACAAGTAGATAAAACTTGGAAAGGAATGGAATAGAGAGAAGGAGGTAGGAATGGGAGTGGATGTGGGTTTTGTTTATAGGCGTGAGGGGGATTTCATGCTTGGTGGTCTCTATTATTTCATTGATAAAGTAGGAATTAAAGTTATTGAGGATAACCTGTTGGATTAAGGGTTTATAGGAATGGACACATTTTAGAAATGCCATTAACAGATATAGGAGTGAGATAGAAGACCTGAAGACCCAGCTAAGGTTGAAGACCAAGATCAGGCCTTCAACCTGATCCTGCAGTTGTCACTTCAATACAACCATACAATTTTGATATATGCATACAATGTGTAATCAGGGTAATTAGGCTATCCAACACCTCAAACATTTATCATTTCTTTTTTTTTTTTTTTTTTTTTTTTGAGACAGAGTCTTGCTCTGTCGCCCAGGCTGGAGTACAGTGGCACGATCTCGGCTCACTGCAACCTCTGCCAACTGGGTTCAAGCAATTCTCCTGCCTCAGCTTCCCGGGTAGTTAGAATTAGGGGCTCGCACCATCACACCCAACTAAATTTTGTATTTTTAGTAGAGACGGGATTTCACCATTTTGGCCAGGCTGGTGTCGAGCTCCTGACCTCAGGTGAGATCTACCCGTCTCAGCCTCCCAAAGTGCTGGGATTACAGGCATGAGCCATGGCATCTGGCCTATCGTTTTTTAAAAAAGCAACAGCAACAGCAGAGACTTGTCTCTGAGGGGTCAGGAGAGGCAATCAAGTTACCCTTCCATGGCCTCCACTCCAGTGCCTATGCATATTTTTCCTTCCTGCCTTGGGGAGCTGTGAGAGGACTGGAGGGCTTTGCTGCTGCATATTGGCAGGAACCCTGAAGCCAGCTGAGTGGGCGGGGCAGGGTGGGGTTTGCCATCAGTCTCCTCTTTATCTACCCCTCCCTCCTGGTCCTGGGCTGCATCTCTCCAAGTGACCAGCAGAGGGGCCTTCATTAGCAAATACACTTCAAAAGCATTCTGTCTAGAGGTGACAGACTGTCATGGTGGGCAAGGGAGGCACAGTGGAAGAGGGACCTGGGATGGTGGAAGCAGAACTGGTCAGTTCCAATATCCCACCAGTCGAATTCCTTTCTGCCCCCATAGGACCCTGCTAACCCTCCTTTTTTTTATAGGCCCACAAAGCTGCTTACCAACTGCTTCTCCCACAAATCCCTGCCCAGAGCAGCCTGTGTCTGTTAGATTAGCTCCTGGCACTAAGCTGAGATGGGAATTTTCTGCTTCTGCCTTGTTTCTCTTAAGCCAATTATCATCAACCCTTACATGTCTAGGCATAGGGAAACATGCCCTGGATGGAGGCTCTGTCCTGGTGGTGGGGGTGAGGGGGTCTAGGGTAGGAGTTGGGAGGATCCTAGAGAAAGGGGAAAATCCGGCCGGGCGCGGTGGTTCACGCCTATAATCCCAGCACTTTGGGAGGCCGAGGTGGGTGGATCATGAGGTCAAGAGACTGAGACCATCCTGGTCAACATGGTGAAACCCTGTCTCTACTAAAAATACAAAAATCAGCTGGGCATGGTGGCGCGCGCCTGTAGTCCCAGCTACTCAGGAGGCTGAGGCAGGAGAATTGCTTGAACCCAGGAGGCAGAGGTTTCGGTGAGCCAATATTGTGCCACTGTACTCCAGCCTGGGTAACAAGAGCGAAACTCCACCTCAAAAAAAAAAAAAAGGGGAGAATCCATCTCAGGGAATGGGAGGAGGTCTGTTTGGAGGAATAGGGGATGATCCACCTAGACATTGAGAGAAAGTCTGTGGTGGGAAGTAGGGTGTTTGTTCTGGGGATGGGAGGACTAGACCAAGGAAAGAAGGTTCTTTTAGGCAATGGTTCTCAAAAGGTGGTCCCTGGACTAGCAGCATCAGCATCACCTGAGAACTCATTAGGATGTAAATTCTCTAGCTCCACCCCAGATACTGAATCAGACATCTAACCCTGGGAGTGGAGCCCAGTAATCTAATCTGTTTTTTTGTTTGTTTGTTTGTTTGTTTGTTTTGTTTTTGAGACAGAGCCTTGCTCTGTCGCCCAGGCTGGAGTGCAGTTACAGGGTCTGCTTTAGGAGTTGGAAGTGTGTGTTCTCAGGAATCACAGGTTCATCCTGGGGGATATGTGGTGGGAGTGGGGAGTATCTCTAGGATGGAGAGGGTCTGTGCTAGTGGATCTGTGGAAGGCTGGAAAAATTCTGTATCCTAGACTACAACCTTTCTAATATCTGTTAAGGGGAACTGAGAAAACCTGCTTTATAAAGTGGGAAGGTGACAATAGGTAATGAGGAAGTTTTTTCTTTTTCTTTTTTTTTTTTTGAGAGAGTCTCACTCCCTCACCAGGCACCAGGCTGGAGTGCAGTGGCACGACCTCGGCCCACTGCAACCTCCACCTCCCAGGTTCAAGCGATTCTCCGCCTCAGCCTCCCGAGTAGTAGCTGGGACTACAGGTGTGCATCACCATGACCAGCTAATTTTTTGTATTTTTAGTAGAGACGGGGTTTCACCATATTTGCCAGGATGGTCTTGATCTCTTGACCTCATGATCTGCCTGCCTTGGCCTCCCAAAGTGCTGGGATTACAGGCGTGAGCCACCGCACCCGGCCTTTATTTTTATTTTAATGAGGAAGTTTGATGTCATAGATAAAGCCATGGTTTAGAATCACTGAGACTTGTATTTGAATCCCTACATCCATCACACTAGCTATGTAACTTCATACTTGCACTTAACATTTCTGAGCTTCAGTTCCTTGTCTAAAACATGGAAGAATAATGCTGACTTCATAACATTGTTACAAGGACTGGTTAGACTGTTCAGTCAATGAGTATTTATGGAGTGCATTTTCTTTCTTTTTTTTTATTTTTTTGAGACGGTGTCTCACTCTGTCACCAGGCTGGAGTGCAGTGACGCAATCTCAGCTCACTGCAACCTCCACCTCCCAGGTTAAAGTGATTCTCCTGCCTCAGCCTTCCAAGTAGCTGGGACTACAGGTGTATGCCACCACGCCTGGCTCGTTTTTGCATTTTTAGTGGACACAAGGTTTCAACATGTTGGCCAGGCTGGTCTCAAACTCCTGACCTCATGATCCACTGCCTCAGCCTCCCAAAGTGCTGGGATTACAGGCATGAGCCACCACACCCAGTTTTGAATGCAAATTCTGTGTCCAAGTTACAGGAATATAGTGGAGAAAGAGACTGGCCTAGCCCCTTACTCAGGGATCAACCCTATCCCTATGCTATGTGCCTAGCATGTAGTAGGCATTTAATAAATGTAGTTTCCCCTCCTTTGCTAAGGAAATGGGAGATTCATCTGGGGGAAGGAAATGAGCCTAAACCATGGTGTGACCTGGGGAGTAAGAATGTATGGTCTGTGCAGTGGCATGATTATGGCTTACTGCAGCCTTAACATTCCAGGCTCAAATGATCCTCCTGCCTCAGCCCCCTGAGTAGCTGGGACTACAGGCACCCGCCACCACGTCTGGCTTATTTATTTAATTTTTTTTTTTTTTTTTGAGACAGAGTTTTGCTCTGTCACCCAGGCTGCAGTGCAGCGGCCCAGTCTCAGCTTACCACAACCTCCACCTCCTGGGTTCAAGCGATTCTTCTGCTTCAGACTCCCGAGTCGATGGGATTACAGGCATGTGCCACCATGCCCAGCTAATTTTGTATTTTTAGTAGAAGAGAGGGTTTTCCATATTGGTCAGGCTGGTGTCGAACTCCCAACCTCAGGTGATCTGCTCACCTCAGCCTCCCAAAGTGCCGGGAATACAGGCATGAGCCACTATGCCTGGCCTTAATTTTATTTTTTGAGACAGACTCTTGCTGTGTCACCCAGGCTGCAGTACAGTAGCATGATCTTGGCTCACTGCAATCTCTGCCTCATGGGTTCAATTGATTCTCGTGCCTTAGCCTCCAAAGTATTACAGGCATGAGCCACCATGCCTGGCTAATTTTTGTAATATTAGTAGAGATGGGGTCTTGCCATGTTGGCCAGGCTGGTCTCAAACTCCTGACCTCAAGTGATCAACCCGCCTCAGCCTCCTAAAGTGCTGGGATTACAGGCATGAGCCACCATGCCTGGCCTATAGTGTTTTCTTGAGAATAAAAAATCGTAATCTGTCAGCTGCAGTGGTTCATGCCTGTAATCCCAGCACTTTGGGAGGCCAAGGCGGGCAGATCATTTGAGGTCAGGAGTTTGAGACCAGCCTGGCCAATATGGTGAAACCCCATCTCTACAAAAAAAATACAAAAATTAGCTGGGTGTGGTGGTGTGTGCCTGCTACTCAGGAGCTGGGTGTGGTGGTGTGTGCCTGCTACTCAGGCAGTCCCAGCTACTCAGGAGGCTGAGGCAGGAGAATCACTTGACCCTGGGAGGCAGAGGTTGCAGCGAACCAAGACCTTGCCACTGCACTCCAGCGTGGGTGACAGAACAAGACTGTCTTGAAAAAAAAAAAAAAAAAAAAAAAAGAAAGAAAAAAGGGAAAAAAGAAAAAAAAAAAAAATATCAAAAAAAAAAAAAAAAAAGAGAGAGAGAGAGAGAAAGAAAAGAAAAAAGAAAAAAGGGAAAAAAGTTGTATGTCAAAGAGTAAAGCTGGAAGTCATTAAGACATGGAAGTTATCTCAGGAGGATGAAGAGCCTGTCTAGAAAACAGGGGGAGATTGGGAATAAGGTTCTGAGGGGCCCAATTAGCAGGGTGGGCAATAGCAGGGACTTTGAGGTTTAAGCCCTGCTCTGCCACCAACTAGACTTGTTCCCTTGGGCATATTGCTTCACCTCCCTATGCCTCACTTTTTATCTCTAAAGGAGGGTTGTAAAACCTGTCTCATAGGGATAATGTGAAGATTAAATGAGATAATGCCTGGTACAACGTAGTTAATAAATGCAACTGTTGGGGGGATGGGAAGGTCTATATTAGGTGATGGGAGGCTGATTTGGAGAATGGAGGGTCCATCTGGAGAACAGGAGGCTGGCCCTGAGGAATGGTGGTGATGTGGGGCATGGAGTTGGGGAAGATAGGATAGGAAAAACTGGATCCAAACCCCACATAAACCTCACAGTTACAGGGCAGGGGCCTAGAGATATCCTCCAGGGGCTGTCAGCTTTTAGGACTGTGGAGAGGCGGCTGGGAGGGGGGCCAGCAGGGGAGAGGTTTGACTGCTAGTAACTCATCAACTGCTGCAGTAAGGAGAAGCCTCCTCGGTGGCAGCTGCACCAGCAGCCTCAGAGCCTCCCCTCCCTTAGTCTTAGCTGTGTGACAGGTGGGAACTTAAAAGCTCAGGTCACGTGTCTTGGCTAGCTAACCTACTTACCCCTTGAAGACATAGCGGCTGGGACAGGCAGGGGCCAAGAGGACTTGACTGAGAAAGGGGAGAGCAGGGGAAAGCCCCAAGTGTGTTCGGGGATCTATATTTGAAGGCTTTGGGGGCAAGGGAGAGAATGTGCAGGTGCGTGAGATGCCCGGGGCACTGTCTGCGAGCCCTGTGCATGCCCTGGCACCCAGGTCCCTCCAGGATATGGCATATGCCTGTCTTGAAGGCCTGGATCTGGCTAGACGACTCTACAGTCGGAGCAGGCTGAGCTCCGGGTTCCAGTTTAACGGTGGAACTGCTGCAAACTACCTCAAAGCTGCTGCCATTTTCCCTTCTTTACTAGTGCCCTAACTCAGGGAAAGTGTGAATCGGGAGGGGGGGATGTTCCAATGTCCCAAGGCTCATGCTTTTTTGAAAGCCTTTGTACTGAGTTTGGGGATTCCTGGAGGGAAGCCTGCGCTCATGGGCTGGAACTGAGGAAAACTTGCAGGGCTGGGATTGTGTGTGAAGAGACTGACACCTTTACAATCCCTTGAGAGAGACGGAATCTGCACCCCACTTCCCCCACCCCAACACCATTGCCTAATCTGTCTTCCAAGGACTTGTCCCCACGGAGTGACTCCAGCTCTCCTTTCCTCACTGCCTCCAAGTTGGCCCTTTGTCGTCCATTCCCAGTCCTGAGTTCACCCCTGCACCTCCTCGGGCCCCCAGGTTGCAGGCACTGCTCTCTCCTTCGCCGTCCTCGCCCCCCGCGGACTGCCAGGAGGCTCGGGCCCTTTAAGAGCGGCGGGACCGGAGAGCAGTAGCTGGGAGGAAAGCGCAGTCGCCCCCCGGGCTCGGAGGACACAGCGTCCGGGACCCGGCTCTGGGAAGCTATTGTGCGCAGCCCAGCGGAGTCGGGGCGCGACCCCAATCGGCCCTCCCCATCCTTGCTATCTCCTCCGACCCAAGGTCCGGCCCTCCTCCGTCGCCTGCCCCGCCCCGGCCCCACCCCGGCCCGAGCCGCCGGGACCGGGAGCCGGGACGCGGGTGCCGCAGCCCGAGGCAGGTAAGGCGAGCCTTGGCTCTCCGTCCCCGGCCCGTGGCAGCGCTGAGCATCCCGGCCCTGCACCGGCCCGGGGGCGCGTCAAGGTGACTAGGCATGCTGGAGATGGGGCCGGGGCTTGAGCTGCCGTGGGGCGCTTAGTTTTGAGCCTGGGTGGTGCGCCTGGATTTGGGGACAGCCCGGGGCACACGGGCCGGGGGGCGCCGGCGGGAGGGGCCGGTCTGGGGGTCGCGCGGAAGGATGGAGAATGGGACGCAGCTGGAGGCCTGATGTCTCCTCCGCTCTGCCTTCCCCTGGTCCGCCCTGCACTCACCCTGCTACACTGACCTCCTAGCGGGCAGCCTCCGCCGGCTGCCCCTTCTCCCCGCCCCCTATCCCTCCAGTCCCCAGGGGCCGCTGGCCTGCGGGATAAGGAGATTAAAGAAGCCGCGGGGAGGAAGAAGCCAGTGAGAGCTTCCAGGGGACGGGCTGGGGCCAAGCTGGTGCTGGACTGCCTGGGACTGAGCATCGCCGTGCAGGGAGTTGGGGGCGGGGGCAGAGTGCGGGGCTAAGTCTCAGATCTGCCCGGAGAAGCAGGTGGGGAGTGGGGGCGGGGAAGCATTAGAACGCCAGGGAGCTTTGAGCGGGGCTCAGTGATCTGCCCCCAAACTGAGCAGGCCCTCTCCCTGCAGGCCGGCGGCGTGATGGCGGAGAAGGCGCTGGAGGCCGTGGGCTGTGGACTAGGGCCGGGGGCTGTGGCCATGACCGTGACGCTGGAGGACGGAGCGGACCCCCCTGTGCTGACCACGCACCTGAAGAAGGTGGAGAACCACATCACTGAAGCCCAGCGCTTCTCCCACCTACCCAAGCGCTCAGCCGTGGACATCGAGTTCGTGGAGCTGTCCTATTCCGTGCGGGAGGGGCCCTGCTGGCGCAAAAGGGGTAGGGAACAGCCTGGTGGGGAGTCCCTGGGCCCTCTCTGAGTTGCTTCTCCAGCAGCATGAGGCCTGGGTGTTCCATGTTCGGCAAGTCCTGCACCAGTGGGCTCTTTGGAAACACTAAAATCTGGGTCCCAGCCCCTTGCCCACTGTGCACTGTTGGGGTATCAGGATCTACGCTCCCCAGCACCTGTGAGCACGTGGGATACTTGATACATTGGTTATTGAACCTTTTTCTTCTGAAGAGATCCCCTGGCCTCTGGTCCTTGAGTGGTCCTTGATGAGTTTTCCTTCTTTTGTTTATGGAGGATTCCTACCTGTGAGGGCTGGTATGAAAAAGTAGGGGGCTGTGTCTGCAAGGTTGAGCAATACCCTTGGACCTAATATAAAGATGTTCTCATTCCTGTCATCTTATTCCATTCTTACCACAGTGCTCAGAAGCAGGGAGGGTGGCGGTTTGGCAGGATAGATGTCATCTCCATGTTACTAATAAGGAAACTGAGGCCCAGAGAAGTTGAGTAACTTGAGCAACGTCACACAGCTAGTAAATGGCAGAGCTGGGACCAGAAGCCTGGCTTCCCAGCTCTCCACACATTGTTCTTTTCCCTCATTTCCCTGTACAGCATTCCCATCGCCTCCCCTTTCCTGCCCATGAAGACAGGTTGCCCTGAACCCTAACCAGCCCCAGCAGCCCCTACCCTGAGCAGCTTTATCTGACAATAGGGAAGCTCAGGCTGTTTCCCAGAGCCTGGGTGTGGGCCAGGGGTGGGGCTGGGACATTGTTCTCTGAGGTTTAACAAATAGGTTTGGGGTGCTTCAGAGCAGAGCTGGGCATGATCTGTCTCTGCACTCTCCACCCTCACTCCTATGAGTGACCAAAAGGTCACCTGGCCGAGCCAATGGAAACTGAGGCATCTGGGCTTCCTGCCCAGTGCACCCTGTCCCTAAGCAGCCTCTCTCGGTCCTGAGGCCAGCTCTAGGCAAAATGATGAGGCAGTTGTTATTTCCTTAGTCCTCTCATTTCCTCATAATTTTAAGAAGAAACAAAGATTTTTTTAAAAATCCCTCTAGATGGGCCAGCTCTCCAGTTGCTTCCATGCGCCAGCTGCAGACTGATACCCCTCACCTGGCCCTTCCCTCCTTTTGACCTTGACAGCCCCATTCTGCTCTATGAGCCCTTTTGCCATTCCTTTCATTCCTTGTCCCTTTCTCTGCCCCCTGCCTTCCCCTTGATGACTTCTCTTTTCCATTGGATCTCTCTCCCCTTCTCTAGAGGACAGAAAGCAATTAGGGTTAGACAGAAAGGAAAGAAAGCAAGGGGATGGAGGGAGGGAGCGTTCTGCCTTTCCCAAGTAAGGATTTGTTACCAGTCTCCCCTAATGATATATAGCATTTCTTATTTTTTCAAAACAGCTTCCTTTTAAAAATTATTATTAATAATCTCACTTAATATTCATAATAACCCTATTAAGTCCTTGGGAGTAGATGTTACTATTCTTTTATAGATGAGGAGTCAGAGGCCTTAAAGATAAGTGACTTGACAAAATTGCAAAGAGAGTTACTGACGGCAGCAGAGCTAGAATACCAGTGTCTCTCCAGCCCAAGGGTCTGGCTGGCCTCTTCTGTGCTGAGCAGTTGTGGGACAGAGGGAAACATGGGTTCCTAGTCACTTATAAGCTATGTGACCTTGGGCAGGCTGCTTACCCGCTCTTGGCCTCACTTTTCTCATCTGTAAACAGGGATGATAAGAATACACAGGCTTGTTTGAAGCTCAGCTGAGACGATATCTGTGAGAGGCAAATGTAAGGTGATTTTTGTGTTAGGCATCAGTGTTCAACCAGCTACTGTAATTAATTGAGAGGAAGGTTCGTTGCTGCCAATTTCTTCTCCTGCAAGAGATCATTTCCTGTGAGTGGCTCTGAAAGGCATATGCTGGAGTGCGCCACTAAATGTCTGATTGATGGAGAGGAGGACTGAGGCAGAGGGCTGGAGCCCATGGCTTCCCTCTCCCGGGAAAGAACTTGCTGTGTGACCCAGGGTGAGTCACTAGATGTCTCTGGGCCCCAGTTGCCTCACCCGTGTTGTTAGAGAATAGCTGAGGCTTTGCTTCATGGGTTCCATCCAGGCAGTTGCTGTGACCTGGACCTGGCAGTGGGCAGCAGCTGCTACCCCTTCTGACAGGAAGCGTCGAGAGGGACAGCATGGCCCAGAACACAGTCCTGGGCGTCATGAAAGGAGGGATGCCATCCCTTCACTGTCTCCACCAAGGACACTAAGGAGGTGGAGTGGGGAGGGACTTGGGCTCTGTAGGGGTTAGAGGGGGTGGCAGTGAGAAGGTGCTGGTGAGGGATTGGCACCTCCTCACCTATGAGGCAGGTCTGCCAGCATCACAGGCAAGGCCCTCCTCAATGGCTTCATCCTTCCCCTCTACTTCCACATCTCACCAGGTCACTCCACGTAGGCTCTGTCCTCTGTTCCTTGGATTGTGAGTGTATATACACATAATTTTACATTGCAGAGCCTGGAGGTCCTCTGCTTTCCCTTTGCCTTTTGGAATCCTGCTCATCCTTCAAGACTTAGCTCAAATGCCACCTCTTCCAAGAGGCCAGCCTTGATTTTCCCCTTGCCCCCTGGCCTACATCAATTCCATTTTTTTTTGCATTCTCACAGCATATTTTTTTGTACTTCTGTTATAACCCTAATTTTACTTTTCTTCATTTTTTGTTTGTCTGTCTTATTTAGACTATGACCTTCTCGGATACAAAAACTGTCTTCCTCAATTTTTGTCCAGTGTTTGGTACAGAGCTTGGTATATAGTAGATATCAATAAGCATTTGTCAAGTGGAATTAACAGTAAAATGTCACTTTTTAATGCATTCTATGTGCCAAGCACTGTCACATGTTTTACATATATTATCTCATTGAATCTTTACAACAACCCTATGAGATAGGTACTATCATCCTCATTTTACAGATGAGGGACCTGGAGCTCAGAGAGGTTAAGCAACTTGCCTGAGGTCACACAACTGGTAAGTGTGGAGTCAGAATTTGAACCCAGATCCACCTGACTCCAAACCATGCTCTAAATGCATATGCTGCCTTCCAATGATTGAATGAAAGGTGAGATTTTACTGGGCCATGTTAGGGGCTAGAGACACAAGCCTGGTGGGCAGAGAGAGCACAAAGAAGAAGGCTTTTTCTGAATGAGGGAGAATTCACGCTCATGAAACAGACACGTACTGAACATCTATTACAGGCCAGACAGTCTGTTGAGATTACCACGATGAGTGAGACACTGCCCCCAAGGAGCTCACTGACTAAGAGGCTGGGAGAGCGGGGCAAGTGACAGGCACATCAAGTAACAAACCTGCTGGCATAGGAGAGGTGCTATGGAAACACAGGGGATTGGCAGCCAACTCGAGATGTAGTGGTGGGAAAGTTTTCCTGGAGGGGGTGTGGCAGTGGCCGCTATGATCACAGAAGAGGACTAGGGTCTTCTATAGCTTTGATCCCCTCTCCACGCCCATCCATGAGACTTGTGGATTTTCCCACAGTCTTCAGAAGAGGACTGTTGCCTCTGATACTTTGATATTAGTTGTGGTCGTTTCTAGGGGGACGGGATGAGAGGGACAGGTTACTGCCAGGGCTATGAGGGTTGTTCCTCCATCCTAACCCAGTCACACTGAGTAGGGACTACCTATTTCACTAATAGCCGTGGCTGCTCCTAAGAGTTATGGGGGTACCTCTGTTCACCGCAGCCTGACCAAAAACCCCTCCCTCCTTCACTGCAGGTTATAAGACCCTTCTCAAGTGCCTCTCAGGTAAATTCTGCCGCCGGGAGCTGATTGGCATCATGGGCCCCTCAGGGGCTGGCAAGTCCACGTTCATGAACATCTTGGCAGGATACAGGTAAGGATGAGACTGGGGTTGAGTGGGGGCAGGACTCAGGAAGAAGTATCCCTTGGGGAACACAGAAGGTATTCTGAAGTGACATTGACCTCCATCCTCAACCCACATCCCTGCAGGGAGTGTGGAATGAAGGGGCAGATCCTGGTTAATGGGAGGCTGCGGGAGCTGAGGACCTTCCGCAAGATGTCCTGCTACATCATGCAAGATGACATGCTGCTGCCGCACCTCACAGTGTTGGAAGCCATGATGGTGAGGGCTGGATAGTCACCCCTCCTCCCAGCAACCCTCTGTCTGCTGTCCCCACCTTCCCCATTGGCAGAGAGGTCAAGGCAGAGCTCCCTCCCACACACACCTTTCTCGCCTACTCTCTGGGCCCCAGGTCTCTGCTAACCTGAAGCTGAGCGAGAAGCAGGAGGTGAAGAAGGAGCTGGTGAGTGGAGAAGGGAGGCAATGGGACCACTGCCTTTTGTGGTGCTGCTGAGCTCGACGTCCCGAGCTGGGAGTGGGAGAGTGGTGGCCTAGGCCAGAGCAGTGAACTTAAGGGAGATGTTTTTCGAAGCTGGGGCGCTGCCTGGGGGAAGCAGAGACTTCGAAGCTGATCTGGGGTGGGTGGGGTGGGGCCAGGTGACAGAGATCCTGACGGCACTGGGCCTGATGTCCTGCTCCCACACGAGGACAGCCCTGCTCTCCGGTGGGCAGAGGAAGCGCCTGGCCATCGCCCTGGAGCTGGTCAACAACCCGCCTGTCATGTTCTTTGATGAGCCCACCAGGTAGTTCCCTCCACCCCTTTCCACCAGGATACCCCTCTCCCCTTGGCCCTGAGCCAGGGCTGGAGGCTGCATCTAATCCATGAGCCAGAGCCTCTGTTTGCAGCCTCCTGGGGCCAAGATAAGGGCTTCTTCCTCATCTCCTTCCTTGCCAATCCTGTTGCTGTGAGCACCCCCATCCTTCACCTGGGCAGAGATCTAAATGTCCTCCTTGATTGACACCTCCCTCTCCTGTCACCCTCAGCCATCTGTCACCAAGTCCTGTTGATTCTGCCTCCTTTTGATATCTCTCAGATTTACCCTGCCCCATCCTTAATGTTGATGTTAAGTTCAGGACATCAAGAGATTCTTATCTCCTCATCTCCAGTGTCTCCCAGCCAATCCTTCCTCCAAACTGCAGCCAGAGTGAACTTTCTAAAGACAAGTCTGCAGTGCTTACTCCCCTGCTTAAAAACATGCAGTGTTTCCCACTTGGCCTCAAAATAAAGTCAGGTGACTTACAAGGGCCTTGTCTGAACCTACTTCTCCAGCCTCATGTCATGTACTTTATGCTCTAATAATACTGAGTTGCTTATAATTCCCTGGTCAAGCCATGTGTTTCATGCCTCTAAGCTTTGCCCATGCTGTGTCTTCTGCTGGAATGCCCTTCGCCACTGTGCCTCCCCTCTCCCCTTCGCCTGCTTAGCTCTTACTCCTGGGCTCACTCAGGAACCTTCACTGATTACCCTCCAACACCTGCTACTGCTGAGCTGAATCCGCCCCCTCTTTCACCCAGGGTTGCTACAGCACTTTCCACATTACCCAAAATCAGCCATGTGCTTGTCTTTCTCTCCCTCCAGACCAGAGTCTGTGTTTTATTTATGCATCATTGTAATCGCAGTGCCTGGCATACAACAGGTGCTCAATATATGCTTATTAAACTGAACGGTGCTTTGGGCTTCTGGGTATACCTCCAAGTGCCTGAACCATAAAGGATACAGATGTGGCCAGAGTACCCTCTTCCTGCCAGCTTCATCCCCTTCACAGCAGCTGCCCCACCCCAGACACTGCCTTCTTTTGGCCTCACCCACCTCACATGGCCCCCTGGTGGCCTCTCTCTGGACAGCGGTCTGGACAGTGCCTCTTGTTTTCAAGTGGTGTCCCTTATGAAGTCCCTGGCACAGGGGGGCCGTACCATCATCTGCACCATCCACCAGCCCAGTGCCAAGCTCTTTGAGATGTTTGACAAGGTGAGTGTCTCCAGGCATCAGGGAGGATTGGCCTGAGATGGAGGGATGGAAGGGGGTCAGTAGGGGTGCCTGGCCTGCTGTTCCCTCCTTACCCTTCTCTTTCTGCTGTAGCTCTACATCCTGAGCCAAGGTCAGTGCATCTTCAAAGGCGTGGTCACAAACCTGATCCCCTATCTAAAGGGACTCGGCTTGCACTGCCCCACCTACCACAACCCGGCTGACTTCAGTGAGTGGGGGTCTGTTGGTAGGAGCTGGGAAACAGCAGTGGGCCAAACCTGGGGGCTCTGGTCCTGCACTCAGGCCTTGTAGGGGCAGAGATCTCACCACTGCCTGCCTTCCCCACACACCCAAAGCAGGACTGACTTGCCCTTGGGAAGTGAGGATGAATCTTAAGTGGGCTCTCTGCTCTGTGTCCCCAGTTATTGAGGTGGCCTCTGGCGAGTATGGAGATCTGAACCCCATGCTGTTCAGGGCTGTGCAGAATGGGCTGTGCACTATGGCTGAGAAGAAGAGCAGCCCTGAGAAGAATGAGGTCCCTGCCCCCTGCCCCCCTTGCCCTCCAGTAAGTAGGGGTGGAGAGGGCAGAGAGGGAGTAACTGCGGAGGGGAGACCATGAGCAATGACCCTGCCAAAAAGGCTGTTCCCCAGAAGTATCGCAACCATTGGGTACTAGGAAGCACCTAGGACTTGGAATTGACCTACTAGGAACAGCACTGTGTCCTTAGGCACTTACTTAACCTCCTTGAGCTCCAGTTTCCTCATTCATTTATTCATTCAGCAAATTCTTATTGAGCGTCTACAGTGTGCTGTCCTTGGTCCTGGCACAGTGCCCATCTGGTAAGCAAGACCAACATGGTCTCCAGCCTGGTGGCCAGTGTGGCTTACTCTTCTCCCCAACTTAGAGATGATGATACTTACCTCACAGGGTGATTGGGAGGACTAATTAGATAATCACATAAAGCTCTTAGCACTGTAGCTGGTATAGCAGGCCTCTGTCCAATACTAGTTCTCTTCCTTAAATGCGACACTATAACCCCTGAAAACCAGATGGGTTCGTTTTTGTTGTTATTGTTGTCATTATCATCATTATTAAGTAATATCACTGTGAAATTGGTGGCATAAAGGAATTACACCCTTAGGGTTGATGTGTTTTGATGGATTAAAGAAGTAACTAATCTATTACCAGCCACCATGGGTGTCCATTACTTTCTTTCTATCTCCTCCCTCCCAAGTGTTTGCCCCCTCTTTGTGTCTGAATCTCGCTCTGATTCACACCCCTAAGCCTAGCTTTCAGGTATAGAACTCAATGGTGGAAGATTCTCTGTAGACTTGGAGGACCCCTGCCCTGGGGAAGGGCTCTGAGGTTTTTCATTCACTGAGCTGGGTGTTCTATTGGTGAATGGGGTAGGTGTTCTGTGGGTGAACTCACCTGATCCCAATCCAATTTCTTCTTCACAGGAAGTGGATGCCATTGAAAGCCACACCTTTGCCACCAGCACCCTCACACAGTTCTGCATCCTCTTCAAGAGGACCTTCCTGTCCATCCTCAGGGACACGGTGAGGCATCAGGCTAGGGGAGAGGAGGCTGGCACAAGCCTGACCTTTTGGACTGCAGGATCCCAGCAGTTGAGATGGGAATGGGAACCCTCCCTCACAGCCCCACAATGCACCTGTGGGTCTCTGTGCCTGTGAGGGCGGCTCCGAATTCCTACCCTGCTCTGTAGCTTGCCTATCCCTGGCCTATGACACATGCCTCTCCTGGTGATGACCCCTCCCAAGGTCCTGACTCACCTACGGTTCATGTCCCACGTGGTGATCGGCGTGCTCATCGGCCTCCTCTACCTGCATATCGGCGATGATGCCAGCAAGGTCTTCAACAACACCGGCTGCCTCTTCTTCTCCATGCTGTTCCTCATGTTCGCTGCCCTCATGCCAACTGTGCTCACCTGTGAGCTAAGCTGCCCTGGGCATGGGGCAAGGGCGTGGGTGCTGGGGCTCAGGGCAGGGGCCAGGGTGTCAGCTGGCTGTGCCTAAGCAGCCTGTGTCCTCAGTTCCCTTAGAGATGGCGGTCTTCATGAGGGAGCACCTCAACTACTGGTACAGCCTCAAAGCGTATTACCTGGCCAAGACCATGGCTGACGTGCCCTTTCAGGTGGGCCTCTTCCTCCCACCTGCTCACTGCCTCCATCTGGTCTTGCTCCTTCCATCCTTGCTTTCTTGCCTCCCTCAAACTTGTCGCTTTCCTTCTTCTGCTGTTCTACTCCCTTAGCAAATAGATGGTGAGTTACTGTCATAGCCCAGGCCCTGTACCAGGCCCTAGCGATGTAGCAGTGAACTAGACTAATGTAGTCTTGACCACGTGGACTTTATGTTTTAGTAGAAACAACTGACAACAATTGAAAATAACCTTATAGCGCTGGGCATGGTGGCTCACGCCTGTAATCCCAGCACTTTGAGGCTGGAGGCTCACTTGAGCTCAGGAATTTGAGACCAGACTGGGCAACATGGCAAAATCCCGTCTCTACTAAAAATACAAAAATTAGCCAAGCATGGTGTCGTGTGTACCTGTAGTCCCAGCTACTGGGGGCAGCGGGGGTTGGGAGGGTGTTGAGGTGGAGGACCGCTTGTCTCAGGATTGAGCCCAGGAGGCTGAGGTTGCAGTAAACCACCAGATTGCACCACTGCACTCCAGCCTGGATGACTTAGTAAGAGACCATATCTCAAAAAAAAAAAAAAAAAAGAAAAAGAAAAAAAGAAAAGAACACTACAAATGACTCTGTAGCTCTTTTTTTTTTTTTTTTTTTTGAGACAGAGTTTTGCTCTGTTGCCCAGGCTGGAGTGAGTGGCACGATCCTGGCTCACTGCAAACTCTGCCTCCCGGTTTAAGCAATTCCCTGTCTCGGCCTCCTGAGTACCTGAGATTACAGGTACGCACCACCATGCCCGGCATATTTTTGTATTTTTGGTAGAGACAGGGTTTCACCATCTTGGCCAGGCTCGTCTTGAACTCCTAACCTCATGATCCACCTGCCTCAACCTCCCAAAGTGCTGGGATTACATGCGGGAGCCACCACGCCCAGTTGACTCTGTAGCTCTTATTACAGGTGGTAGACAATGGCGTGCTGTCTGGCTGTTACTACGACTTGCTACCTGCAAGATCTTGGGCAAATCACTCTCTTTTCTAAAGCGTCCCCATCTATAAAGTCTCAGGATTGTTTGTGAGAATTTTGGTTTTTCTTTGAGACAGAGTTTCGCTCTGTCTCCCAGGCTGGAGTGCAATGGCACCATCTCGGCTCACTGCAACCTCCACCTCCTGGGTTCAAGTAATTCTCATGTCTCAGCCTCCCGAGTAGCTGGAATTACAGGTGCTTACCACCACGCCGAGCTAATTTTTGTATTTTTGGTAGAGACGGGGTTTCACCATGTTGGCCAGGCCTGACCCCAGGTGATCGGCCCACCTTGGCTTCCCAGGGTGCTGGGATTACAAGTGTGAGCCACTGCACCTGTTTGTGAGAATTTAATGAGTTAATGTATATTAAGTACTTAGAATAGTGCTTGGCACACAGCAAGTGCCTAATAAATGTTAGCTGGTTGTTGTTACTGCCAATACCACCCTGTTCCAGGCATCAGGGCCACCAGTAATCCATAGGGCCAGCTGTGTAAATTAGAAAAAGGTGCCCCTTCCTTAGGGTGGACACCGTGACAGGATGCTTGGCTTAATGAGATGAGCACAAGCTGGACCTTGGCCTTCGGTTGGCTCTTGGTTGGGTGCCCTAGAGCAGGGAATGACTGTACTTAGTAGGCTCAGTCCCTGCCCTCTAGGAGTTAGTAGCTCATAGGGAAACAAAACAGCTCTCCTACGGAGAGTTAATTAATTAACAATATAAGGAATAAGCTGGTCCATGTGGGAAGGACTTTAGGTGCTCAGGGAAGGGAAAAGTCGCTGTTCCTGAGCCAGCTAGGGTGGACCCAACAGAAGATATGAGACAAGATGAATGAGAGTCATATGGCCAGGGAGGAAGGGGGCATGTGTCATTCTGGGGTGACAGCTTGAACAAGAGTGTGGCAGCAGGATGGGCATGCGCACCCTGGGAATAGGTATTCTAGAGGCCCAGGCTCGGGTGGAGTGGAGGTCTTGGCTGCTCCCCACCTGGCTTGAAGTCCACTGCCCAGCCCGTTCCCGCTCCCCAGGTGGTGTGTCCGGTGGTGTACTGCAGCATTGTGTACTGGATGACGGGCCAGCCCGCTGAGACCAGCCGCTTCCTGCTCTTCTCAGCCCTGGCGACTGCCACTGCCTTGGTGGCTCAATCTTTGGGGCTGCTGATCGGAGCTGCTTCCAACTCCCTACAGGTGGGAGGGCTGGCAGTTGGGGATTCCCAAGGTGGGATGAGGTCTCGTGGGAGGAAGCAGGGCCTGGTACAAGGGGTAGGGTGGGCCTCTGGGAAACCTGGGCTTGTTCTGGTCACCCCTATGATGGCCTGGCCCACTACACTCCCCTCTAGGTGGCCACCTTTGTGGGCCCAGTTACCGCCATTCCTGTCCTCTTGTTCTCCGGCTTCTTTGTCAGCTTCAAGACTATCCCCACTTACCTGCAATGGAGCTCCTATCTCTCCTATGTCAGGTCAGTACCCCTGCCCTACCCATCGGCTTCTGATCCTCCCTGCAGGAGGCCATGCCCAGGGCTTCCTGGGTTGTGCCAAGTCTGCTGCCTGCCCCATTATCCTTTGGGCAGGGGCACCCTGGCTGCACCCCAGTGATGACGGCATTGCAGCTGGGCTCTGGCAGTTTTCTCAGGGAGCAGGGACCCTGTGTGCTGTGTCCTATCTGACACCCCTGCCTGCCTAGGTATGGCTTTGAGGGTGTGATCCTGACCATCTATGGCATGGAGCGAGGAGACCTGACTTGTTTAGAGGAACGCTGCCCATTCCGAGAGCCACAGAGCATCCTCCGAGCGCTGGATGTGGAGGATGCCAAGCTCTACATGGACTTCCTGGTCTTGGGCATCTTCTTCTTAGCCCTGCGTCTGCTAGCATACCTTGTGCTCCGTTACCGCGTCAAGTCAGAGAGATAGAGGCGTGCCCCAGCCCCCGCAGCAGGACGTCCCCAGCCCCAGCCATTTGGGACTGTTTTAACCTTATAGACTTGGGCACTGGTTGCTGGAGGGGCTGCCGTCCCCTCCCTTGGCTCCTTCCCAGGCTGGCTGTTGGACTGTGCTGTCAGCCTGGGCCCTGGGAGTAGGGGGCTCCAGCCTTCCCCACCATGCCCAGGAGCCTTCCCATGTTGCTGCGGTTTGTAGCTTCCTCCCTAGTCTCTCTAGCACCTGCATGCAAAGACCACTGGGAGGCTCCTCCCTCCTTCCTGCCCCTGGCACCCTCTTTTGCTGTCTGCCTGGGAGCCCCAGGCTCTCCAGGCCCCCACTTACAACTGACCAAAGTGGCCCCCTCTGGGGGGCCCCACCACACAAGTGTTTGTAAACTGGGCTGCTATAAGGTTGGAGTTCCAGGGCTGGGCCCTGGTGGGGTCCCCGGAAGTCCCATTATGGATGGTGCAATGGAGCAGGGAAGGACTCTGGAAGTCTCTTCCTCCTCCTCCCCTTCTCCCTACCCCTAGATCCTGGCTGACTTGGACAATCTGCCAGGACAGAAGCTGGGTTTTCTGTCTAGGTCACCACTCGCAATCCTGGGGATTGGAGGGGCCTGGGGCTGTGGGATGCCCCGTCCCTATCCCCATCACCTTTGGTGGGGGTAGGGCCTGCTGGCACCTGTGCAATAATGTCTGTGTTTCTCTCCCATATGCCACTGGAACTGGCAGAATGTACTTTATTCTGGGGGGTGAGTGGGGAAAGACCCAACCCTCCTTTCTCGCTGCCCCTGACACAGGCATGATCTTGTGATGCTCCCTCCCTCTCTGGAGTGGCAGGCACATACATATGAACAGGCAATCTCAGCCCTACACACTTGCCATCCCCTACAGTGCAGAGGAAGAGTGATGCTGGCATGCTGGTGGTGGCAGGTGCTGGGGGGAGGACAGTGCCAACCTCCTCCTGGGGATCCCTTGTTGGAGACTGTAAGGATAAGGCTGGTGCTGCCCAGGGTGTCTCTAGAATCTGCAGGTGTCTACCCCCCAGTCTTCCCTCCTCCCAAACCAGGGGTGGCAAAGGGCACTAGATCCCTGGAGTTCAGGACCCAACACAAGCACAAGCAAGGGCATAAGTTGGCCTTGGCCACTGCCACCCCATGGTCCTCCTTTTGTGCTTCATGCTGATGTCTTCACCCCTCTACCCCTTCTCCAGCCACTGCTGCTCATTCAAACTTCTGTCCATGTCCCTCCACTGTTCCTATCAGCAGGTGGCCCTTGGGCATCAGAACAGCCTGCCCTGGGCACCAGGTGGCAGACACACTCAGAGCATGTCTGGCTTTCCTGATGGGCCCAGGCTTATTCTGCTTCTGATTTCCCCTCCCCTAGGGCTCATTTTCCCCCTAATTCCTGTACACATTCCTGTCTACCTCCTCTCACTCTGCCACAGATTCTTCCCATCACACAGAGATGCCAGTTGTATTTGCGGGATTTCACCCATTATTAATAAAACCTATATTTATACAGTATGCAATGTGTAAATGTGTGTGGATCTGCCACCTGGTACTGTGGGCCTTGAGGGGGTCTTCAAAGCATTTGGCAAGATGTCTGTCTGTAGGGAGTCTGTGGCAGGGGATGGTAGGTCCTAGGCATGTCAAGCTAGTGAACATGTAGCTTAAGAAATATTTGTGTCATGCTTTCCATCTCACAGAGGCTTCACATTCATTACCTCAAGGGAGTCCTATGCTGACCCTGCACCATCCTTCATGACAACTCATTTTGCAGATGAGAGAACTGAGACTTGGGTCAAGTAACCTACCCAAGGGCCCTCAACTCATGGAGGAGGAGCCAGGCCTGGAGACCAGGCCTTCTGCCTCCAGAGTCCTCATTCTTGGCACTGATCAATGACACTTGTTCATGGTGGATCCACATGCTTTTAGAGAGCTGTGTGTCTGTTGCATAGGTGTGTTCTTGCCCAAATGATGCCAGCCTCTGTCTTCAGGGCTCACTGAGTCCCAGCTGTGCCTGCAGGGGTGGGGTGTGTTAATGGTTATGGAGGATAGTGAGAAGCAGGAAAGACCCTAGAGCCCCATCCCGAGGACGGGAGTGGTGGGGACCTCACTGGGCTTGCTCTGCCTTTCCCCTTTGTTTCTCGTCTTCTTTCCACCCGTCCACCCTTACTGGGGCTGAACTGTCAGCCAGGACTACAAATGGGTTTGGTGGCTGGGGGTTTGGAGCAGGCAAGTGTCTAGAAGTTCTTGAGGGCTGGGGGCAGGACAACCCAAGAAGCAGCACACTGCTTCTCCCTCTTCTGTCCTGGGCCTGAGGCTTGGGGACTGAAGGGAATTACTGACATCAGCCTGCCAGCTGCCTGGAACACCTAGTTGTGCCACATGTAGACTTAAGTGACCCACACTAAACTAGGGTCCAATTTATGAGTGGTCGGGTGCTCAAGTGGAGATAAATGACTTTTTTTTTTTTCTTATGGAGGTTTGTAATTGCAATGGAAAGCATGAAGAAGTCTGAGTCCTAGAATTCTGGAATTCTAGTTAGATTTAGAGGGCATTCTGGATGCCACCTTCTCCCTGGAGTGATGCCAAGAGATGGCTTTTGACAAATCAAAGGGCATGAAATCTCACCATTAAAGAATCTTTCTTAAGATCCTTATTTTACTCTCTTTTTCTTTTTTATTTAAAGACAGGGTCTCACTCTGTCACCCCGGCCATAGTGCAGTAACGTGAGGCAGGAGAAGCGCTTGAACCTGGGAGGCAGAGGTTGCAGTGAGCCGAGATCATGCCACTGCACATTCCAGCCTTGGCTACAGAGCGAGACTTCGTCTCAAAAAAAAAAAATTATAGCACGAGGCTGGGCGTGGTTGCTAACACCTGTAATCCCAGCATTTTGGGAGGCTGAGGCAGGAGGGTCACTTGAGCCCAGGAGTTTGAGACCAGCTTGGGCAACGTAATGAAATTATGATGCATTATGACTACATAATGAATAATTAACATAATTAATTCCAATCATAGCTCACTGTAGCCTCGAACCCCTGGGCTCAAGGGATCCTCCTGCCTTAGCCTCCTGAGTAGCTGGAACCATAGTTGTATGCCACCATGCCCAGACAATTTAAACATTTTTTTAAATGTAGAGATGGGGTCTCATCGTGTTGCCCAGGCTGGTCTTCAACTCCCGGGCTGAAACATTCCTCTCAGCTTAGCCTTCCAAGGTGTTAGGATTACAAGTGTTAGCCACCATGCCTGGCCCTCTTTCTCTTTTTAAAACGTAAATACTAGGTCATGGCATGGTAGCTCACACCTGTAATCCAGGACTTTAGGAGCCTAGCTTGGGCAACTCAATGAGGCCCCAATTCTCTATAAAAACAAACAATCAAAAAATTAGCCAGGCACGGTGGCAGTGCTTGTAGTCCTAGTTACTTGGGACGTGGAGGCGAGAGAATCATTTGAGCCCAGGAGTTTAAGATTACAGTGAGCTATGATTTTGCCACTGCGCCCCAGCCTGGGTGACAGAGTGACACCCTGTCCAAAAAAAAAAAAAAAAAAAGTAAATACTTCTGAAAGTGTTAAACGCTTATAGATCACACATTTACAAGTTCCTTTGGGAGCTAATAAACACCAGGCCTTCCTTCTCTCCCTAAGTGCCAAAGTACCTGGACTTAGAGATCTACGTTAACACAATCACCTTCTCTGTGTCCAAGCCTGTGCAAAGTGCTGAAGACCAGAGTTGAACAAGACAGTTGTTCACGTAATGATTCTTTTTTCTTTTCTTTTCTTTTTTCTTTTTTTAAAGACGCTGTTTCACCATGTTGGTCAGGCTGGTCTTGAACTCCCAACCTCAGGTGATCCGCCTGCCTTGGCCTCTAAAGTGCTTGGATTACAGGCGTGAGCCACCACGCCCGGCCTCCTTTTTCTTTTTTTGAGACAGAGTCTTGCTCTGTCACCCAGGCTGGAGTACAGTGGTGCGATCATGGCTTACTGTAGCTTCATCCTCCTGCGCTCAGGGGATCCTCCTGCCTCAGCCCCAGAGAAGCTGGGACCACAGGTGTGTGCCACTATGCCTGGCTAATTTTTTTTTCTTATTTTTTGTGGAATCAGGGTTTCATTATGTTGCCCAAGCTGGTCTCAAACTCCTGGGCTCAAGTGACCCTTCTGCCTTAGCCTCCCAAAATGCTGGGATTACAGGTGTTAGCAACCACGCCCAGCCTCGTGCTATAATTGTTTTTCTGAGACGAAGTCTCGCTCTGTAGCCAAGGCTGGAGTGTGCAGTGGCATGATCTCGACTAACTGCAACCTCTGCCTCCCAGGTTCAAGCGATTCTCCTGCCTCACCCTCCTGAGTTGCTGGGACTAAAGGCACCTGCCACCATGCCTGACTAATTTTTTTGCATTTTTAGTAGAGACGAGGTTTCACCATGTTGGTCAGGCTGGTCTCAAACTCCTGACCTCAGGTAATCCACCCCCCTTGGCCTCCCAAAATGCTGGGATTATAGGCGTGAGCCACCTTGCCTGGCCTCATGCTACAATTCGTAAAGCACCTGGTGCCCCATTCTGAGGTCAGACAATAGAGGACATGGCCACGGCATGACTCACAGTACTTCCATCTTCAAGAGACCAAAGTATATGTTATTAATAAAACCTACATGGCTGTCGTACCCATGGGGAAGGTGACAGGGGAAGGAAAACAGCTTGCTTTGAGATGTGTCCAGGAACTGCAGCCGGGTGACTGTCTGCCTTGCATGGTTAGGTAAGTGGAATGAAGCTAGAGGAGTTTACCAGGCCCAAACTGTCACCCCTGAGACTACCTTCATAGGGTTCCTATACTTCCCCTCCCACATCCCATTCTACTCCCCTTGATGAACCTCTTTTAAAATGCAAATATGTTGTTCACCCTGCTGCTGGGATGGCCTGCCCTTCCTTTCTCTGATTTTTTCATTTTTTGAGACAGAGTCTCTGTCTGTTGCCCAGGCTGGAGTGCAGTGGCGCGATCTCGGCTCACTGAGACATCTCCCTCCCAGGTTCAAGTGATTCTCCTACTTCACTCTCCTGAGTAGCTGGGATTACAAGCATGTGCCACCACACTCAGCTAAGTTTTTGTGTTGTTATTTTTATTTTTGAGACAGTTTCACTTTATTGCCCAGGCTACAGAGTGCAGTGGCAAGATCTTGGTCCACTGCAGCCTCTGCCACCCGGGTTCAAGCAATTCTTGTGCCTCAGCCTCCTGAGTAGCTGGGACTACAGGTCAATGCCACCACTCCTGGCTGATTTTTTTTCTTTGACATGGAGTCTTGCTCTGTCTCCCAGGCTGGAGTGGTGCAATGGTGAGATCTCGGCTCACTGCAACCTCAGCCTCCTGAGTTCAAGCAATTCTCTTGCCTCAGCCTCCTGAGTAGCTGGGACTGTAGGCACATGCTACCAAGCTTGGCTAATTTTTGTATTTTTGGTTGAGACGAGGCTTCACCATGTTGCCCAGGCTGGTCTCGAACTTCTAAAGCTCAGGCAATCCGCCCACCTCAGCCTACCAGAGTGCTAGGATTACAGGAGTGAGCCACCACACCTGGCCAATTTTTTGTATTTTTAGTAGAGACAGGGTTTCACCATGTTGGCCAGGCTGGTCTCGAACTCCTGGCTGTTAAAATGTGCGCACTGAATGAAGAGAACTCTCCCCCCACCCCCACACACAGGCTTTGTGTGAGCAACATGGCTGTTTATTAGCCTGGGTGCAGGTGGGCTGCAGCTGAAAAGGGCGTCAGCAAAGGGCAGTGGGATAGGAGCTGGTTTTATGTATTGTGGGGAAAGCAGTGGAAAGTTACAAAAGTTACTTCAGGGCGGTTTTTTGCAAGCTGGGAGGGGGGTCGTGGGGTATGGAGTCATAAGGTTGGCCAGGCTGGGAAGGGGATATAGGGCGTGGCATTTGGCCAAGGTTGGTTACAAAATACTGTGGTCTTATCAGTTGAGGCTGGAATAAGAAGCAATAGAGAATGTCTTAAAGTTAAGTAGGCACCGCAGGGGTTGATAATTTTTTTTTTCTATAAGTTCATTTGAGCAGAGGGACTTGATAATTTCTTCCTCTTTTCCTAACTTTCCAGCTCTTCAGGTTTTCTAATTCCAGAAGGCCCTCCAGAGGTGTATGTGTGGTTCATGGGGGTCGTCATGCTGTCCACAGTGCGGTCAGAACTTACACTGGCCTCAGGAGATCTGCCCACCCCAGCCCTCCAAAGTGCTGAGATTACACATGAGCCACTGGGCCTGGCCCTCTGATTTATTTTTTTCAGATCCAGTTCAAATGTTACTTCCTCTGCACTCCTTTTTCCAGACTCTCCTAATGCTTTGCCTCTGGCTCTGAAGTACATCATTTGTTTGTCTGTTTTTTTATCTTTTTATTATCATTTATAATAGAGACAGGGTCTCGCTATGTTGCCCAGGCTGGTCTCGAACTCCTGGTCTCAAGCAATCCTCCTGCCCTGACCTTGAAGTACATCATTTGTAAATGTGGTAGTTGGTTCTATTAAAGGGAGCTGCATGTCTTGTTCTGGTTGGCAGCCTAGGGCCTAGTGCTGGACCTGGCCGGTGGGGGTGAGGTGCTCAGTACTACCCAATGCCACACGACAATGAATGAACAAAGGTCTAAAGGAAACATCTGCATTGTTTTCACTAAGTCCTCTTCCCATCCCTGCCCTGGAGAGCCCCTCTGTGGTGCTCTGGTGCACAGCTCTGTTGTGTGAACATTGCACACTCAGGCTTGCACACGAAGGCGTGCCCTGGCTGTGGGAGGTGGGTGGCTCCTCCATCTGTGCTACGTGAGCTCAGGGTGTGCCCTGTGTGGATGTGCAGGGATTAGGGTGGGGGCTTTGAGAACTAGGAAGCCCCAGGTCTAGGCCATGATTGGGTGTCAGACCGGAAGAGCAGGTTGTGTTGCAAGCTGTCCCTCATCCCCCATTCTTCCTCCTTTCTTAACCAAGGTTACCAGAGGCCATACACAGAGGTCTGGGGTCTGAAGAGGACCAGGTACAGAAGGGAGAACTGAAGGAAGCCTTAGGCTCAGGTCTCTGCCTGGAGTTAGGCTGGGGAGTCAGGGACAGAGGGAAGGATCCCCTGGAGACCTGCGCCTCACGGAGGCCTAGGGGTAAGGTAGGACGACCCAAGCCCGGGATTCCGTTCTGGCTCATTCACTTCCTAAATGAATCAACCTGCACAAGTCATTTCACCCTTCTGAGCATCAGTTCTTCATCTGTAAAATGGGCCTGGCCCAGCCTGGGAGGTGGTTAGTGAGGTCACTGGGTGTCACTGGCGCTTGGGAACCTGCAGAGGGCAGCACTAGCGGCAGGGCCCCCGGGGATTGAGGGCCGCACCCAGGAGTGCCGGGGGCGATGGTGGGGCTGGTGGCGCCCGAGTGCCGGCCCCGCGCCAGCTCCCGGGCACCAGGCCCGTCTCGCTGACCCCCTCGTCCCAGAACCCCGCAGGCCCGAGCGCCTGGGCTCGTCCTCTTTCGCGCCCGCTGCCAGGGCCGGGTGCCAGGGCCGCACAGGCGGGCGGAGGCGGGCAGGAAGCGGCGCGCCGAGGAGCTGGGGACGCTGGGAGCCAGCGGGAGACGCCGGCGTCCGTCCCGCCGACCCCTCCGGGCCGTGGCCAACGGCTCCCGGTACTGGGCAGCCGCGGGTAAAGGCCTAGCGGGCTCGATCGCCCCTGCGCCCCCGGCTGGGCGGCCGCGCTGGGCGGGGGGCAGGGCGGGCCGGGAAAGGGCCGCGGGGAGATCCTGGCCGGGAACTAGAGGGACGGAGCTGGGCGCTGAATGGCTGGCGTTCTGGCAAGTCTCCCCCTGGGTCTCCGAGGCCACCTGAAAGTAGGAGAGCTGTTTGGGACCCAGTCTGGTGGAGGAGCTCTGGACCTGGGGTAACACCGCCCCTGTACTTTTCCTGCAGTGCCCCCTCCTTTTCTCACTGCCCTGGAGACCTGGGTGATCATCGGAGAACTGCCCTCGGCCCTGCAAGTACCATCCTGACCCAGTGGCCCTAGATCCGAGGTTAACCCGGAACCCAGGCTTTCTCAGGCTTCCGGAGCCCCCTCTTAACCTTTCTCCAGCCACTGGGACGCGCCAGCACCCAGCCGGCTTCTCCACTGGTTGTTCCTGCTAAGGCAAATGGCCCAATGCAGCCAGTTCTCCTTAAGCGTGCCCTGCCCAAGAAGCCCCGATCTCAGGGGAGGAGACCAGGTGCCAAATAGGGGCACATTCCATTTGAGTGAGTTCAGAGGACTTCCCAGGGACAGAGAAAAGGCTTCCCAGGGACAGAGACTTTTGAGCAGGATCTTAAAAGATTGGTTGTGGCCCGAGTGGTTGCTGGCACCTGTAGTCCCAGCACTTTGGGAGGCGAGAGGCCGAGGCGGGCGGAGACCTTGAGTCCAGGAGTTCGAGACCAGACTGGGCAACAATGGTGAAAACCCCGTCTTTACAAAAACAAAAAACAACACTTAGCCAGGTGTAGTGACACACCCCTGTAGTCCTAGCTACTGGGGAGACTGAGACAGGAGGATGGCTTGAGCCCAGGAGGTAAGGGGTGCTGTGAGATCACGCCACTGCACCAGAGCTAGAGACCCTGTCTCAGAAAAAAAAAAAATTTGGTTGAGACTAACAGAGGAGAAAGGTCATTCTAAACTGAGAAGAGTGTATGAACAAATTTAGGACAGCAAGAGCAAGAATCCGGCGAGCCTGGGGAATAAGGTACAGGCTAAGGACAAACTAAGAAAAATAGCTTGTGGGAGCCCAGTGTTTGGACTTTATAAGTAACCTGGGACTTAGGGAGGTGCTTGGTCCCTGGGATGAGGGATTAGAATGGGATGAGACTGAAGGCAGAAAGGCTGGTGAGGAGATGGGGTCCAATAAGTCCTGGTTGGGGCAGCAACTGGCTGGTAAAGCAGTGGGGAGGAATTGCTAGGACTGTTCACACTACCTGAAGGAGCAGGGGAAGAAAGATTTGAAGACAGAGGTCAGGTTTCTAGTGTGAGGTGTGGGTGGGAAGATTTGCAGCAAGGCAAATAAGGGGAGGGGAATGATGAGTTCAGTTTTACCTGGGAGAAGTTTGAAGCAGTGGCAGATTATTCATCTGGAGATGTCAGGTGAGAAGTTTATTCATTTATCTGTTATTTATGTCAGCCTCAAAGGCTGCTTACATCAAAGTCACAGAAACATAAAATGATAAAACCATTGAAACTTTAGGCTGGGCGCAGTGGCTCATGCCTGTAATCCCAGCACTTTGGGAGGCCAATGCTGGTGGATCACAAGGCCAGGAGATCAAGACTATCTTGAGGCTGATGAATCCCTTGAACCTGGGAGGCAGAGGCTGTAGTGAGCTGAGACTGTGCCATTGCAGTCCAGCCTGGGCAACTCCATCTCAAAAAAAAAAAAAAAAAAAAGGCTGGCCGCAGTGGTTCACGCCTGTAATCCCAACACTTTGGGAGGCCTAGGTGGGCGGATCACCTGAGGTCAGGAGTTCGAGACCAGCCTGGCCAACATGGTAAAACCCCATCTCTACTAAAAAATTAGCCGGGCGTGGTGGCATGCAACTGTAATCCCAGCTACTCAGGAGGCTGAGCCAGGAGTATCACTTGAACCTGGGAGGCAGAGGTTGCAGTGAGTTGAGATGGCGCCATTGCACTCCAGCCTGGGCAACAAGAGCAAAACTCAGTCAAAAAAAAAAAAAAAAAAAGGTGGTAGGAGAAAAAATGGGATCCCTCAAGTTGGAGTTTGGGAGAGGAATGAGAGCTGAAAACCAGGCCAGGGCTTCAGCAGGACCAACATTTGAGGAAGGGCTGATCCCCTTCTGGGAGGAAGGTCCCTCCTTGGCTGGAATGGGGTAGGGTGCAAGGGAGGAATGGTGGCAGTGATCCCTTTATACCATTCTTCTTGCAGGGGAGCAGGATAGAAGTTGGTACTAGGCCCCCCAGGCTCTGACCTTCTCTCCCAGGATGAGGTGGGGCCACCATTTGCCCAGGGCCTCTTGGGGCTCTGGTTTTGGAAGAGCACTCCAGCAACCAGGTGAGCAGGAAGCAGGGGTTTCTGTTTTTACCTCTTTCTTGCTTTTCAGCAACCACATGATGCCTCCAAAACAGCAGGGATCCAGACACCAGGTGCACTAGTCTCAGCTCTGTGTTTCTCTAGCTGTTGACCTTGGGCACGTCGCCTCACCTTCCAGAGCTGCCTTTTTCCCATCCTAAAATAAGGGCGTTGGACTAGATCATCTTCGAGGGTCTCGTAGCTACATAAGTCTAGGAACTTGTCTGATTTTATTTTACATACAACAGAGATTTACTGAGCGCCTGCCATACTGCAGACCCTGTGTTAAGTTCTAAGTAAATAATTGTGAAAAAAGACAGACGTAAAGTTATACAACATCCAGATGTGATCCCTCTCATGGAGTGGGGAGGAATGAATGTTAATCAAATAATCGCACAATGACATATAAAATTTCAAAATAACTGCTGCAAAGGGGCAGTACATGCTGCTATGAGAGCAAATACTGGGGGGTCTGATGCAGACATGGGTTCTGTGTATTGGATGGGATCTGCAGATGCTGTTTCTTCCTTCTCTCTGTAGATGAACATTTCCCCTTCCTGATCCACTGGAGTTGGCCCCTTCAAGGGGAGCGTCCCCTTGGGCTCCCTAGGTGAGGCTGGGTGTCATACCTAGGACTAATCTAGGCACAACAGAGTGGACTGGGAAGGGTCAGGACTTGGGGCTAGCTTGATCTCTTGGGGACCTTGGGGAGGGGCTTGGTCCTCTGCGGGTGGGAGGATACAGTGGCAGCTCCCAGGCCTGAGAGGAAGTTGGCTTAGATCATCTGTGGTAGAAGGCATAGTGCTCAGTGGAGGGAGGATGTGTGGGAAGTAGGATGTGTGGGAGGATGCGTGGGAGCCTGGCATGGCCAGCCTGAGTTCCGGGCAGCAGTCAGCAGTGGAAGCTGGAGGGTTAGGGATAAGGGCTCAGTTCCTGGGAGGGGTGTGAGAGTCAGACAAGCCTCTAAACTTGGGGGTTGAGTGTGGGGCTTATATCTCAGGAAACCGGAAGTCTAGCAGTACAGACAGGCTTGGACCCAGAGCCTGTGAAGGGGCTGACCAAAGATCCAAGTCCCAGCTCATCTCCTTTCCTTGTTCCCAGGGCCTTTATACGCCACCATGGAAGCTCTGCAGACAGCACTCCCCCATCTTCGAGGCATGGACGGCTGTTCCCCAGTGCCTCTGCAACTGGTAAAGGGACTGGCTGGGACCCTGGTTAGGGGCTGCAGTGGGGAGAGGGGGCTGGAAGGAGAAGCAGGGTGAGGGAGGCATAGAGGACCCACTGCTGTCTTCCATCGGTGGTCCCTCCTCTCTCTCCCTCCCTCCCATCCATCTATGTAGCCCTTCCTGCAATACTCATGTAATGCACACTTATATGTATAAAGCACTAGGAGAGCCATACCATCCCTATCCTCAAGAAATGTTGGGTCTAGCAGGTTAAGGCGGCACATAAGTCAGAATGAAACCAGTCAGTCCAGGCTCAGCATTAATTGTCCAGTGGCTCCCCACTTTCTGACATAGGGGTTCCAAACTTTCTGGACAATCTATAATTTCTCAGGAAGTTTTGTGTGCCCATTATTGTGGGCCCCAGCATCTATGTCTTGACGTCCTAGCCTGACCTCACCACCGCCCTAATTGGCCCTAAGCTACATCTCCAAGGCCCCTTTCCCTGACCCATTTCCCTTGTCTTCCCATACAGAAGCTATCCAGCAGCACCGCCGGAACCTGGCTGAGTGGTTCTGCCGGCTGCCCAGGGAGGAACGCCAGTTTGGCCCGACCTTTGCCCTAGACACGGTCCACGTTGACCCTGTGATCCGTGAAAGTAACCCTGATGAGCTACTTCGCCCATCCTCGGAGTTGGCCCTGGAGCATCAGCCGCCCCAGGCTGGGCTCCCCCAACTGGCCCTGTCTCAGCTCTTTGACCCAGATGCCTGTGGGCGCCGGGTGCAGACAGTGGTGCTATATGGGACAGTGGGCACAGGCAAGAGCACGCTGGTGCGCAAGATGGTTCTGGACTGGTGTCATGGGCGGCTGCCAACCTTCAAGCTGCTCATCCCCTTCTCCTGTGAGGACCTGTCATCCCTGGGCCCTGCCCCAGCCTCCTTGTGCCAACTTGTGGCTCAGCGCTACATGCCCCTGAAGGAGGTTCTGCCCCTGATGGCCGACACTGGGTCCCGCCTCCTCTTTGTGCTCCATGGCTTGGAGCATCTCAACCTTGATTTCCGGTTGGCAGGCACAGGACTTTGTAGTGACCCTGAGGAACCGGAGGCACCAGCTGCTATCATCGTCAACCTGCTGCGCAAATACATGCTGCCCGAGGTGGGTGGCCCTTTGCCCCAGGCTATCACTGCTGCCCCTTGACTTGCCCCCTAGGTCCTGGGTTACTTTACCTCCTGGTCCCTTCACTTCCCAGCGGTGTGACTCTGAGCAAGACAGTAACTTCTCTAAGGCTTCTGTTCCTCTCTCCTTGAGTTGCTCTGATCAAATGGGATACTGCACATGACATTGGCACAGCGGCCTGGATCACAGCAGGGGCTCAACAATTGCGTGTTATAACTGTTATCCTCATCATTGCATCATTGTCTTCATCCTTGAACACTCAGAATTCAGGGGTCCCCTGGGAAAAGAGGTAGTCAGCAGGACACTAAGGTCTTTCTTCCTTTCTTTTTGCTTTTTTTTTTTTGAGATTGAGTCTCACCCTGTTGCCAGGCTGGAGTGCAATGGAGCGATCTTAACTCCCTGGAACCTCCAACTCCCTGGTTCAAGTGATTCTCCTGCCTCAGCCTCCTGAGTAGCTGGGATTACAGGCACACGCCACCACACCCAGCTAATTTTTGTATTTTTAGTAGAGACGGGGCTTCACCATGTTGCCCAGGATGGTCTTGATCTCCTTACCTCATGATCCACCCGCCACGGCCTCCCAAAGTGCTGGGATTACAGATGTGAGCCACCACGCCAGGCTGCTAAGGTCTTTCTTAACTTTCAACCATGCTCTTCCCAGGCCAGCATTCTGGTGACCACTCGGCCTTCTGCCATCGGCCGCATCCCCAGCAAGTATGTGGGACGCTATGGTGAAATCTGTGGCTTCTCTGATACCAACCTGCAGAAGCTCTACTTCCAGCTCCGCCTCAACCAGCCGGACTGCGGGGACGCTGCTGGGGGTGCAGGTGTATCCGCCACGCCAGCTCAGCGTGACAACCTGGTGCAGATGCTCTCCCGGAACCTGGAGGGGCACCACCAGATCGCTGCCGCCTGCTTCCTGCCATCCTATTGCTGGCTTGTCTGTGCCACCTTGCACTTCCTGCATGCCCCCACACCTGCTGGGCAGACCCTTACCAGCATCTATACCAGCTTTCTGCGCCTCAACTTCAGTGGGGAAACCCTGGATAGCACGGACCCCTCCAATTTGTCCCTGATGGCCTATGCAGCCCGAACCATGGGCAAACTGGCCTACCAGGGGGTGTCCTCCCGAAAGACCTACTTCTCTGAAGAGGATGTCCGTGGCTGCCTGGAGGCTGGCATCAAGACGGAGGAAGAGTTTCAGTTGCTGCACATCTTCCGCCGGGATGCCCTGAGGTTTTTCCTGGCCCCGTGTGTGGAGCCAGGGCGCGCAGGCACCTTCGTGTTCACCGTGCCCGCCATGCAGGAATACCTGGCTGCCCTCTACATCGTGCTGGGTTTGCACAAGACGACCCTGCAACGGGTGGGCAAGGAAGTGGCCGAGCTTGTGGGCCGTGTCGGGGAGGACGTCAGCCTGGTACTGGGCATTATGGCCAAGCTGCTGCCTCTGCAGGCTCTGCCTCTGCTCTTCAACCTGCTCAAGGTAACATCCCTGAGACCCCCCTATCTGCTCCTTCCCTCCCCAGCACCCCAAGCTGGCCACACTCCTCATGGTTCCCTGTTCACTCGTTGCTCCTCTCTCAGCAGGAAACTGCTGCTTCCTGCACAGGTATGAATCTGGTTTCAGCTCTGGGCATTTTGGCTTTTAGTGGGATTATGAGAGAGAAGCCACAAGGCCAGGGAATGCTCGGTGGCTGGGGAGGGGAATTTGGAAACATGGGGGACTTTAAAAACAATCCTACATGGATTCCTAAAAATGGTTTCCTTTTTGTGTTTTTCCTCCTAGGAGGCAGATCTGTCCTCTGCTTTGCAGGTCCAGAACATTGATTGTATCTGTTCCACCAGAGGTGATTAGGCTGAGAGTGATGACTCACCCTAACTAAATCAACAGATGCCATTTTATTCATTTATACTAGGGCGATGCATGGCATCAGTAATTGGCTTAGTGGAGTCGTCCTGAGGGCAGGTCCACTCCAGAAACCAAATTATAGACCTAGGACTGTGCTGTGAGCAGCACAGCTGAGTGAGGCCTTTGAGAGCCTGAAGGAGCCACTCTGTGATGTGTGCTAGGCCCTTTATCAGTGTTTTTCACATACTCCTAGGAAGGAAATACTATTATGATCCCTTTTATAGATGAATAAACTGAGGCTCAGAGAGGCAAAATAACTTGTTCAAGATCACTCTTGTAAAAAAGTGATAATAGTAAGTAAAAAAGCTGGGATAGGAGCCCAGGGCTTTGTGATTCTGAATCCTGTGCTTTTTCTGACAAACTATACTGGTGCGTTATGGATATTTCTGTGGGGCTGTGGGGCTGTGCTAGGTAACCTTTGTTTTCTATAGGAATGTTTCAGCAGCCGATTTTGAGGAGGCAGAGTGCTGGCTAGTGCTGGCCGAATTTCAACACCTTGTTAAAATTTATCTTCATTATTATTCATTTTATTATTTTATTTATTATTATTGTTTTTAACAGAGACAGAGTTTCACCATGTTGGCCAGGCTGGCCTTGAACTCCTGACCTCAGATGGTCCACCCACCTCAGCCTCCCAAAGTGCTTGATTATAAGCATGAGCCACAATGCCTGGACTATTTTTATTTTTTGAGATGGAATCTCACACTGTCACCCTGGCTGGAGTGCAGTGGCATGACCTTGGCTCCCTGCAATCTCCGCCTCCTGAGTTCAAGCGATTCTCCTGCCTCAGTCTCCCGAGTAGCTGGAATTACAGGTGCCCGCCACCATGCTCAGCTAATATGTTGTATTTTTAGTAGAGACAGGGTTTCACTATGTTGGCCAGGCGGGTCTCGAATTCCCGACCTCATGATTCGTCCACCTCAGCCTCCCAAAGTGCTGGGATTATGGGTGTGAGCCACTGTGCCAGGCTGTTACATTTATTTTTATTTTTATTTTTTGAGACAGTCTTACTCTGCTGCCCAGGCTAGAGTGCAGTGGTACAATCACAGCTCACTGCAGCTTCGACCTCCTGAGTTCAATCAATCTTCCCACCTCAACTTCACTGAGTAGCTGGGACCACAGGCATGTACCAACATCCTTGGCTAATTTTAAAAAATTTTAATTTTGTAGCTGGGTACAGTGGCTCATGCCTATAATCCCAGCACTTTGGGAGGCAAGGAGGTGGATCACCTGAGGTTGGGAGTTCGAGACCAGCCTGGTCAACATGGTGAAATTCCTTCTCTACTAAAAATACAAAAATCAGCCAAGCTCAGTGGCGGGGGCCTGTAATCCCAGCTACTCGGAAGGCTGAGGCAAGAGAATCTCTTGAACCTGGGAAGCAGAGGTTGCAGTGAGCCGAGATCGTGCCACTGCATTCCAGCCTGAGTGACAGAGCGAGACTCCCTCTAAAATATGTTAAAAATTAATTAAAAATTAAAAAAATTAATTTTGTAGAGATGGGGTCTCACTAGTGATTCTCTCACTTTGGCCTCTCAAAGTATTGGGCTACAGGTATGAGCCACTGTGTCAGGCCAGGTTTTTATAGGCACCAAAGCGTAAGGGCTGAGAACAGGGATTAGTAACTCAGCTATTTGAGTTCGAATCCAAGCTCTGCTACATATTAGCTGTGAGACCTTGGACAGGTTACTTAACTCTGTGCCTCAGATTCCTTATCTGTGAAATGGAGACGATTCTAGAACGTATATAACTGGCCTAATATGAAGATTAAATGAACTCATCCTCAGAGTCTGGCACATGGTAAGTGCTGTTTAATTGTTTTTTAGAGATGGACTCTTGCTCTGTCACCCAGTCTGGAGTGCAGTGGTGCCACCTTTGCTCACTGCAACCTTCACCTCCCGGGTTTAAGTGATTCTCCTGCCTCAGCCTCCTAAGTAGCTGGGAATACAAGCCCACACCCGAATACATGTCCGACTAATTTTTTTTTGTGTATATATATATATATATAGAGAGAGAGAGAGCGAGAGAGAGAGAGAGGCGGAGTTTTTCTCTTGTTGCCCAGTCTGGAGTGCAATGGCGCAGTCTTGGCTCACTGCAATCTTCACCTTCTGGTTTCAAGCGATTCTCCTGCCTCAGCCTCCCGATAGCTGGGATTATAGGCATGTGCCACCACACCCAACTAATTTTGCATTTTTTAGTAGAGACAGGTTTTCTCCATGTTGGTCAGGCTGGTCTCGAACTCCCGACCTCAGGTGATCTGCCCACCTCAGCATCCCAAGGTGCTGGGATTACAGGCGTGAGCCACCGTGCCTGGCTCTACTTTTTGTATTTTTAGTAGAGACGGGGTTTCACCATGTTGGCCATGCTGGTCTTGAACTATTGACCTCAGGTGATCCACCCACCTCAGCCTCCCAAAGTGCTGGGATTACAGGAGTGAGTCACCATGCCCAGCCTATGCTGTTTAATTGTTTGTCACACATAGAAACAGGTTCTGTTTGAGACTAGCCTGGCCAACATGGTGAAAACCTGTCTCTACTAAAAACACAAAAATAAGCCAGGCATGGTGGTACGCATCTGTGATCCTAGCTACTTGGGAGTCTGAGGCAGGAGAATCACTTTAGCCCAGGAAGTGGAGGTTGCAGTAAGCCTAGATCTCACCACTGCACTCCAGCCTGAGGGACAGAGTGAAACTCTGTCTCAAAAAAGAAAGAAACAGGCTCAGGAAGCCCACCCCTTCTCACACCTTCACCTCCAACAGGAGGTGACAGCTACTGCTGAGGCCACCCCCACCTTGAGGATGTGCCTGCTGGACCTGAGTTGCAGCAAGAGGCTGCAGTCTCTCGAGGGGGTTCAGAAAGCCCCCAGTTATTGAAAGCCTACCAGAATTGTCAGTCCCCGCACCCCCAAGATCTCTTGGAGGGAGGGTTGCCCTGGGAGAGCACTGAGCCCATCTGTTTCTTCATGATCCTGTGGATTCAGCTTCACAGGGTGACATATTCTGGGCTTGTCACAGATTAGTGTTTGAGAAGGGGCACTATCACCTCTATGAAGGGAACCTCACGTATAAACATGAAAAAAAGCTGGGTGCAATGGTGCATACCTGTAGTCCTAGCTCTTGGGGGGCCAAGGCAGGAGGATCGCTTGAGCCCAGGAGTTCAAGGCTACAGTGAGCTATGATTGCACTACTGCACTTCAGCCTGGGTGACACAGCAAGACCCTGTCTCTAAATAAATAAAAAGTAAAAAGTAAAAAAGACCCAGATGTTAAAGGAGGTGCCACAAAACAGCGTCATGGTTTGTTGCCAGAGGAATGACCCATCTTTCCCTTCAGAACCATTGCAGGGACGGGGGAAGACATGACAAAACCCAGACCTTCATTTCTTTCTTTTTTTTTTTTTAAGATGGGGTTTCACCATGTTGGTCAGGCTGGTCTTGAACTCCCGACCTCAGGTGATCCACCTGCCTTGGCCTCCAAAATGCTTGGATTGCAGGCGTGAACCGCCACGCCTGGCCAGACCTTCATTTCTTTGTCTGATATTTGAGTGCCTGTTGTGTTCCAGGCAATGTGTTAGAATCTGAGGAAACGTCAGTTAACCAAACTACAGGTTTCTGCCCTTTCTGATCTAGTCTGAGCTCCTCTCCCAAAAGGAAACTGCTGCTTCCTGCACAGTTTGAGCATAAAAATATCAACGTAACCATATAAGGAAAAATTATGGCAAATGCCTAGAAAGAAAGGCCCCAGGTGCCGTGATAGTGTGTAGTGAGGGAACTGGTCTGAGAGGTCAGGGGAGCCTCTTTGTGGAAGGGCATGTCATTTGACCCTTGTAGCATTAGCCAAGGGAAGAACTTGGGGGGAAACACCCCAGAAAGGGGTAGCATCCTGGAGGGTTTTTTTTTCTCTCTCTTCAGACAGGGTCTTGCTCTGTTGTCCAGGCTGGAGTTCTGTGGCATGATCTCGGCTCACTGCAGCCCCGACCTCCAGTGCTCAGGGACTATAGGCACATGCCACCATGCCTGGCTACTTTTTTTTTTTTTTAGATGCATTTTCACTTTTGTTGCCCAGGCTGGAGTGCAATGGCACGATCTCGGCTCACCACAACCTCTGCCTCCCGGTTCAAGTGCCTCCTGGGTCTCCTGCCCCAGCCTCCTGAGTAGCTGGGATTACAGGCATGCACCACTATGTCTGGCTAACTTTGTATTTTTAGTACAGACTGAGTTTCTCCATGTTGGTCAGGCTGGTCTCGAACTCCTGACCTCAGGTGATCTGCCCACCTTGGCCTCCCAAAGTGCTGGGATTATAGGTTTGAGTCTCCATGCCCGGCAATTTTTTGTTTTAGATTAAAAAAATTATTTTATAGAGACCACATCTGGCTACATTGCCCAGGCTTGTCTTGAACTCCTGGGCTCAAGTGATCCTCCCACCTCGGCCTCCCTAAGTGCTAGGATTCCAGGCAAGAGCCTATGGCGGCTTTGAAGGAGGAAAAACCTTGGCACTGTTAAGACAAAAGCCAAAGGCCAGGCATGGTGGCTCATGCCTGTAATCCCAGCATTTTGGGAGGCCGAGGTGGGTGGATCATGAGGTCAGGAGATTGAGACCATCCTGGCCATGGTGAAACCTCGTCTCTACGAAAAAAATTAGCCGGGCATGGTGGTGTAGTCCCAGCTACTCAGGAGGCTGAGGCAGGAAAATCGCTTGAATCCGGGAGACAGAGGTTGCAGTGAGCTGAGATCATGCCACTGCACTCCAGCCTGGCAAAAGAGCACTACTCTGTCTCAAAAAAAAAAAAAAGCAGAAGTGGTAGGATCATAGTGAGTGGGGCCAAGAGGCTTATGATGAAGGCACTGTAGTTGGCAGGGTCCAGATCACACAGGCCCTTGAAGCAGTAGGAGCTGTATCAATCGTAGTGGCTGTGACAACAGTGATGCTGAAGATGGTAATGTACTTGTGACACCTAGCCTGGTCCCAAACTAAGTGTGTAATACCTGCTAATTCCTTCTCACCGCCTCCTGGGTTCGAAAATGTATTGGAGTGCTTGGGAAAGAGAAAGAAATCCCTAACGTCTGCAGCACATGAGACAGGTGTTGAGAGATGACCCTGAAAAGGTCAAATTAGGGCCAAATTATGAAGTTTTGGGCCAGGTGCATCGGCTCATGCCTATAATCCTAATAGTGTGGGAGGCCTAGGCCAGGGAGCCCAGCCTAGGTGACACACTAAGATCCCACCTTTAGTTTTAAAAAATGTTTCCTATTCCAGGCTAAATGTTTGGAGTTTGCTGCATAGCCAGTAGGGAGCCATGGAAGGTGTTGCAGCAGGGGAGTAGCATGATCAGACAAATTATGCTAAGTTCAAGGGGAGATCACAGTCTGGAGCAGTCATGGGGATGTACCTTAAGCTGAGCCTTGAAGGCTGAACAGGCACACGGAAGGCCACAGTGACCCTCTCCTGCTTCTTTTTCAGGTGGTTCCGCGAGTGTTTGGGCGCATGGTGGGTAAAAGCCGGAAGGCGGTGGCCCAGGCCATGGTGCTGGAGATGTTCCGAGAGGAGGACTACTACAACGACGATGTTCTAGACCAGATGGGCGCCAGTATCTTGGGCGTGGAGGGCCCCCGGCGCCACCCGGATGAGCCCCCTGAGGATGAAGTCTTCGAGCTTTTCCCCATGTTCATGGGGGGACTCCTCTCTGCCCATAACCGAGCTGTGCTAGCTCAACTTGGCTGCCCTATCAAGAACCTGGATGCCCTGGAGAATGCCCAGGCCATCAAGAAGAAGCTGGGCAAGCTGGGCCGGAAGGTGCTGCCCCCCTCGGAGCTCCTTGACCACCTCTTCTTCCACTACGAGTTCCAGAACCAGCGCTTCTCCGCTGAGGTGCTCAGCTCCCTGCGCCAGCTCAATCTGGCAGGTGTGCGCATGACACCCGTCAAGTGCACAGTGGTAGCGGCTGTGCTGGGCAGCGGAAGGCATGCCCTGGATGAGGTGAACTTGGCCTCCTGCCAGCTAGACCCTGCCGGGCTGCGCACACTCATGCCTGTCTTCCTGCGTACCCGGAAGCTGGGGTGAGGACCTATCCTCATGTACAGGCATGAAGAGGGAAGAGGGTTGGAGGTGAAGAATTGGGAAGAGAAAGTGTCAGGGAAACCAGAGGGACTGACGAGTGACCAGAAGGTGGGATGAAGAAGTCTAGTGTGGGGCTGGGTGCGGTGGCTCACGCCTGTAATCCCAGCACTTTGGGAGTCTGAGGTGGGCAGATCACAAGGTCAAGAGATGGAGACCATCCTGGCCAACATGGTGAAACCCCATCTCTACTAAAAAAAAATAGAAAAATTAGCTGGGCGTGGTGGCGCGCGCCTGTAGTCCCAGCTAGTCCGGAGGCTGAAGCAGGAGAATTTCTTGAACCCAGGAGGCGGAGGTTGCAGTGAGCTGACATCACGCCACTGCACTCCAGCCTGGCGCCTGGTGCCAGAGCGAGACTCTGTCTCAAAAAAAAAAAAAAAAAAAAGAAGTCTAGTGTGGGCGGAGGTGAGAAGAGCAACAGAAGGGAGGAGCCAGGTGTGGTGGCTCCTGCCTGTAATCCCATTGCTTTGAGAGGCCAAGGGGGAAGCATCGCTTGAGCCTAGTAGTTTGAGACCATCTTGGGCAACATAGCAAGGCCCTATCTCTACAAAAAAATTTAAAAATTAGCCAGCTGTGGTGGCACATGGCTATAGTCCCAGCTACTCGGGAGGCTGAGATGGGGGCATTGCTTGAGCCCAGGAGTCTGAGGCTGCAGTGAGTTGTGATCATGCCATTGTGCTCCAGCCTGGGCAACAGAGTAAGACCCTGTCTCTAAAAAAGGGGGAAGCAGGGATGGATTCCCAGAGGCAGGCTAATGAAGAAAGAGCATGGGAGATAGACTGCATGCTGAATTCCCTCCTTGGTCTCTCACCTCTCTGGCCACCTTCTGCTCCAGCTTGCAACTCAACAGCCTGGGCCCCGAGGCCTGCAAGGACCTCCGAAACCTGCTGCTGCATGACCAGTGCCAAATTACCACACTGCGGTGAGTGCCCTGGGAGTGGGCATCCTGGTGGCCAGCTAAGGTCAAGGGTGAGCTCCCTGCCTCCCAGCATACTTGATACAGGCCCACCCAAGGGATAGTAAGTAAATGGAGTCCCCTCCACTTCCCCCAGGTCCACTGTAAGCAGCAGGGCAGCGGGAAAGATGCCACCCGTAATGAGTGCTAGGAAATCTCTTACTTGGCTAAAATCAGCCTGGTGGAGGTAGGGAGAGAGGGTGGAATAATACCTAGGCCAGTTGCCTGGTAACAGTGCCACTGATCCTCTTCCAGAATTTCTCCTCCAGCCTCCTGAGGATGGCCCTAATGCTGGGTACTCAGTAGATGCTCCTTAAGTGTTAACTGTTATGTGGGGAATCTGGGTGCCTGGGTTCCCAGTTTCTGGTTGGTGTAAGGGGAGGCAAATGAGGAGGAAAAAAGGAAGAGCAGGGAGAAGGATAGGGGAGTCAGAGGGGAGGCAGAAGCAGAGGCTGCAGAAGAGGTAAAAAAAAAAAAAAGGCAGAAGAAGGGATAAAGAAATGGTGACGAGGAAGGGAATAGATAAGAAGGGAGTCAGGGGAAGAGAAAAGGAAAGACCAGCTCCCCCACTCTCCTTCCTCTGCCAGGCACCACATCCCCTATTGCTCCATCCCTTCTTTTGGGCCTGCATTTCTATGTCCAGGCTTCTTTTGCCCCAAGCAGGGCCCTCTTTGGCCCAAGTCCTGACACCCAGCACAGGGCTGCCCCATCAAGGCTGCCAGCACCACCACCAACCTTGCCTCTCCCTCCTCTCAATGGGCCCTCATAACCTTGGGTTGCATGTGGCTATAGGCTGTCCAACAACCCGCTGACAGCGGCAGGTGTTGCCCTGCTGATGGAGGGGCTGGCAGGAAACACCTCAGTGACGCACCTGTCTCTGCTGCACACGGGACTTGGGGACGAGGGTCTGGAGCTGCTGGCTGCCCAGCTGGACCGCAACCGGCAGCTGCAGGAGCTGAATGTGGCCTACAACGGTGCTGGTGACACGGCAGCCCTGGCCCTGGCCAGAGCTGCCCGGGAGCACCCTTCCCTGGAACTGCTGCAGTGAGTCCTGTCCCTGGTCCCATTGCCCCCAGCCCTCAGACTCCTTCCCTCTCACCACTGTGCTCCTCCAATCCTAGGGAGTGCTTCTGGGCCTGGCCTGGTGCCTGTCCTCTGTTCCTGGTTTCTGACCGATCCTTTTCAACCTAGTTCTGAGCCAACTCACCCCCCTGGCGACTGGCCCGTAAACTGCCCCAAATCCCTACCACCATTTCTCCTAGAGGCCTGCTGTCCCTGGTCCATTTGAATTCTAGTATCGGGGTCGGGTGTGGTGGCTCATGTCTGTAATCCCAGCACTTAGAGAGACCGAGGCAGGCACATCACCTGAGGTCAGGAGTTTGAGACCAGCCTGGCCAACAAGGTGAAACCCCATCTCTACTAAAAATACAAAAATTAGCTGGGCGTGGTGGTGCATGCCTATAATCCCAGCTACTTAGGAGGCTGAGGCAGGAGAATCACTTGAACCTGGGAGGCAGAGGTTTCAGTGAGCTGAGATCATGCCACTGCACTCCAGCTTGGGAGACAGAGCGAGACTCCGTCTCAAAAAAAAAAAAAAAAGATTCTAGTGTTGGTCCCTACCTCTCACTGGCCAGCACCCTCCATCTCTGGCTCATTGCAGATACTTACCCGATTGCACTCTGCAGCCAGGAGATGAGTTGTGAGGCCCCCTGATTTTCTGTCCATCCACCCTTGGGCCCTCCTTCTCATAGCTCTACTGAATGGCATCAACTTTCTCTCTCCTGCCAGCCTCTACTTCAATGAGCTGAGCTCAGAGGGCCGCCAGGTCTTGCGGGACTTAGCGGGTGCTGCTGAAGGCCGTGCCCGGGTGGTGGCGTCACTGACAGAGGGGACGGCAGTGTCAGAATACTGGTCAGTGATCCTCAATGAAGTCCAGCGGAACCTCAACAGCTGGGATCGGGCCCGGGTCCAGCGCCATCTTGAGCTCCTACTGCGGGATCTGGAAGATAGCCGGTGTGCCACCCTTAATCCTTGGCGCAAGGCCCAGCTGCTGCGAGTGGAGGGCGAGGTCAGGGCCCTCCTGGAGCGGCTGGGAGGCTCTGGAAGCTGAGACACTGGTGGCAGGCACCTAGCTTTGTGACCACTGACCCTAAACCTCTTCCCTCTGTGGGCTCCTGGCTTGCACTGCTCCTTCTAGAAAGCTCTCTTCAGGTCTGGAGGCAAAGGAATGGGCACAGCTGTGCCAGTTGCCCTCCTGGGGCATGTTCAACCAGGTCTGAGTCTGGAATCACCAAGTTAAAGAAGATAAATCAATGCTTTGGGCTGGGCGCGGTGGCTCAAGCCTGTAATCCCAGCACTTTGGGAGGCCGAGGCGGGTGGATCACGAGGTCAAGAGATCGAGACCATCCTGGTCAACATGGTGAAACCCCGTCTCTACTAAAACT